GCAAAAAGGGATGATTCGCTTTTGAGAAGATTGACATGTGTCCCTGTTTTCTTTGACTTGTGTGCTTGCTCGTTGAACAGTACTACTTTGTTCCTGGTGATGGTTGCTGTTATTGGTTTGATGTTAGCCCGGAGACGCTCATTTACAAATATTCCATACTGTTCTTGACCCTTTGATTGTATTGTAGTGAGGCACTCAATTGACTGCTTGTCCATGATGTCCTTTGAATGCAGTCTCAGAAAATCTTGGCTTTCTTCTTCAAACGGACTCCCCATACCCTCAATTATTCTGACCAGTGTATCGACCTGTGTAGCAAATTTCTTCTGGGTAGCATCAGTTTGCTCATGGTGGTTTCTCTGGCTGGGACTCGCATGTTTCCCTACCATGGATGACTCCAATTCAGATATGACACGGACAAGTTCTGGCCCTGCTACTGCCCATCATAAAAGAGCATCGGCATCCTGTATCAGTCCAATGACTCCCCCATCACCTTCATCACACTATTATTTTGCTCATGGCCATGATCAATTGCGATGAGGGAGAATTTTCTCAAAGACTTGGCCATGACGAACTTGCCGTGCCGAAATTCTCGGGCAACATCAGGATGGGTGTCGTCCAGGCTCACATATCTCTCACGTGAACTGACATCCAGCGGGCGTAATGGGTGTGGTTGAGACTGAAAAACCAAAGTGTTAATTTAGTCAGTGTATCTTTGTACAAATCGAAGTCACCAGTACGCAATGAACGCACAAATGCCAAGGCATGCAGTTCCAACTCAAGGTTTGTGTACCAGTACAGGAATTGTGGACTGTCAGTCTTCCGACGTGTGCACCACATGTTGAAAGTCTCTGCAGGGCCTTCTATGTTGGTGGCATACATATCATATGCATTCTTCAGGAGAATATACAGTGTGCATGCAGTTACTTGATGGGCATGCCGGGTCCGAGTGACATGGAAAGATTTTGCAATTCCACGAGTGGCAAGTTCTGCCTCTTGAAGAGCTTCAACCCATCCACTCCCTTCCAGCCAATGACCCAATACTTTGTAGCAACACATCTCCGTGTGGAGTCCACCAAGAAGAATTACAAACTTGTCCTCTTCATACTGGCTGTCCATGGACCATTGTAGTTGTTCCAGTTTTGCGAACAGTGGCTGATCAACACAATTAATGGAATCTGATCAGGGTTGACAAAGTGTACAGATGCCTGAATAACATCAAAGCAGTGACGCAGCATTGATGGGGAGCTGGCCTCCTCAGCAAACAGAGGCAGCATGGCATTGATAGATGGTAAAAGGTTTGATTCTGCCATTCGACTGGCATGGTATGCGACCCAAGATATGTTAGACTCGCAGGATATTTCAACTGCATGCATCTTCTCATTCTTAACATGATTCAGCCAGTTGTATTCTTTTTTCATCTTTTCACTCAGTTTATCGCAGGAAGATGTCAGGTTACTAGAAGTTTAGTGGAACATAGACATCACCTGATGGCATACCTGTCGGTCTTATGTCACAATAGGCCATGGGTAAGTTTTTCCTCTGTGCCTTCAAAGGTTTTATTGAATGGGTAAAACCACGGTAGTTATCATCACTTTTACTCTCGGTTGTAATGTTTTGGAACAAGGACAAGCTTGTACTGTGAAATGAACCAGTGGAGGTAGCTGAGCTTGGATTGTGGTCTATATTATCAGTGGCTGCGGTGATGAACTCACCCTTCTGGATCTGGGGAGGACAGACTGTGCCAATCTGGTGATAATACTCACTGACATTATTTCCCAATGATGTGACTATATCCATGATTCGATCATATGAGGCTGACACACCAAGAGCATAAAGACAATCAACCAACTGTCGTTCTCTCATTAATGCATGGGCCTTAAGTCCCATGTAGACGGGTAAGGCGTCTCATGATCTTTGCCGTGATAGACATGTTGTATTTTACTATAGTCTCTGCGCCTCTTGATGCTGCTGAAAACTAACAGCTGAGCGATGGTAAGCACTGGTTGACTGAGGTTCTTGTTGCATGTCTGATCCGTAATATTTGATCCATTGATGAGCATGCTGACAAGCGACAGAAGTGACTGAGGCACTGATTCAACCTGACTATTTTCGTCAAATGACCCTGAGAATGTTACCTTCTGTGTTAAAATGTCACGTCGGATCGAGTCTGCAATTTGGGTCATATTTACACTCTGTCCATCTGGATCAGTCTGGTAGCCTTGACGTAGGAGGGTTCCTACATCATCCTCATAAGCCATGAACACATCTCTTCCTTCCTGTAGGCTTTTACATCTGGGAGAAGCATTATAATTCTGTCTTTAAGTGCTTACTGTTTATTCGTGTAGGAACATTCACACCAAGCTGATCTAGTTTCTCAGTGTACAGCTTAGTAAGAACACCTTTATGTCTTCGTCTTGTCTCCTTTCCTCTATGTAGGGTATCTTCTCTGCTAACGCGATACTTTTACATGTTTGGTCACTTGATACACATGAAATTTGTGAGACCTTTTCACATACTCTGTTGTACAAATTGGTGAGGCATCTTGCATGGTATTTTGCTTCAAGCGTGATAAGGTCTACTGCACCTAATTTAGCCAGAAGGACCTCGTCCTGGATCTCTTGTGCACACTTCCTTACACGGTAATCTAACTTTAATGTGCAGACTTCGTGAAGTTTTTCCTTTGCAGTTTCTGCTTTGCAACAGAAGAAACACACTGGGGTTTTGCTCTGCGCGTGGGTGGTATCTGATTCTCCACTAATGCTGCGTGTGAAAATCCGTTTTGCCAATGTTGTTGGCTCTTCATTAGACTTTCGCTTTCGCTCTTTGGCACATTCCAATTTACTTTTGCCACATTGCATTATGTTCCTTAAATGTGGATTCTACGCCATTCCCATTGTCCAAACGTGTAGCATCTATTTGTACAGGCATGCACTGAAGTTCATTAAATTGACTGATGTTTTCAGCAATTGTCTTATAGCCTGCATCTGTGGGACATGTCAATGATTCTTTGCTGTCTAGTTGACAAACAATGCATTTCGACCAGTCACTTGTCTGGGTAGTGGTTTGTGAGGGGCTCGCCATTTCTGAGCATGCACCAGTAGGTTAATTGAAGACATCTATCTTCCACCACCAATAAGTAACTACATCTCCAGCCCTGAAACGATCACTAAAATTAATGGATTATGATTCAATAAAAACCATCAGGAGCATGCATTACCTATTTATATAATTGTTCTATAAAAATAGGCCAACAATAATTGATGGGTTAAAAAAGCCAACATGGTGATATGATCAGGTAAATGCGTTGCCTAGTGTCACACGCAACGTAATATTACCGTAATTGGTATAGTACAGGTGTGATGGTTCAAATACCAAAATGGCAACAGTAACATAAAGACTTCCCTGGCGGCGATGATAACATACGAACACGGAGCCAACAGATGAGGTTTCAACTGGTACTGGTATTATTATACTCTGCAAACATCAAGTACATAACTCGGTAAAACTCCAAACCTCCAATACTAGATA